ATAGAATAAAATAACACAATTGGAAGGGGCCTTGGAGGTCTTCTAATGCAATGCCCTGCTCAGGCAGGAAGCCCTACACCACTTCAGACAAATGGTTATCCAACATTTTCTTAAAAACTTCCAGTGTTGGAGCATTCACAACCTCTGGAGGCAAGCTGTTCCACTGATGAATTGTTCTAACTGTCAGGAAGTTTCTCCTCAGTTCTAAGTTGCTTCTCTCCTTGGTTAGTTTCCACCCATTGCTTCTTGTCCTACCCTGCATGTTGGGAAGTTAATTTAAATGCAGCTGGATTTATTTCTGAACACTTTGGAACATGTGCTGAACGATCACTCTGCTATCACACACTCTCTGCCCTGCTGCCCAACGGCAGAACCTTTCAATCACTGCAAATCTTCTAAGGATAGATGTTAAGATGATGTGCCTGTTTAGACTTGGTATAGCGGTGGCTTATAGCAACACACTCTCACAAGTGTTTAAATAAAATAGAGTGATTTTATGAGCTGAAGAGCAGAAACAGCCATTTTCCTATCAGCAGTTTCTAAAAATAAAAAAAGATGAATAGACCTTCCCACCAGTTGGGCAAATGCCCTCAATCTTGTTATTTTGAATGAATTACTCAGCATGTTCCCAAATCATACTCACCGTACCTTAAAGTGTCTAGCCACGTCCAATATGATCATCTAAATTCTAAAATAACCAGACATATTGATCTGAAGCCCTGCTGCACTGGTCAAAAGAAGATGAAGCACATCCCCTTCACTATCTGAGAGAACTCTGCTCCTCTGTTAATTACATTTTATGCCATGCTCCTCTGTAACTGGAGATTAATAGCTTCAAGAAAAATACTTTACAATCAGGAAGCGATTTAACACTTTTACGCAACAAAGACCCATCTGTTTTTCTAATTTTCTCATGCTACGGGACTATTAAATGGTTGAGGGTGAAAATAAGAACTGGAGAGGTACTCCAGTGACCTGATCATTAAATAGGACCACCAGATTATTTTACCCAGCTACTTTTGTGCCTCTCCTTTGGGATCTGCTGTTTCGTGCATGATGCAAGAGTGCTAAAAATATACAGACCCTATTGGACTAAGGAAAGTCAACACAGAATGGTAGGCATGGGAAAGTTATTTATGTGTGGTACATTTACAAGTGCTTTGCCCTCATAAAAGATAATTTAAACACAGTAATTTGGTAGAAATGCAGATCCCTTCAGATGTTACTTGCAGTTAAGTGGGCCTAAAGCTACCAAATGTGCACCTACATTCTGAGTAAGCAAAGGCCCCGTCAATTGGCTGTAGTCAAGTTCATCAGCACTTTTTTGAGTAGTGCTGTTGGGCCTTCATTTGATTAATTCTTTCATCCACGGCTCTGTTGAAAGGAAGGCCCACATTATGACTTCTGTTCAAGGAAAAACTCCAGGGATCCAGGATGAGTAGGAACTATACTCTGGCCAAAAAGCAACTGCAGCCTAATTTTGAAAGTATCTGCATGAATAAAAATGGACCCAGAAAACATGCCTCAAAGACAGGGGAAAAGCACCATTTTATTTTCTGCCATGGTTGATAAATCAAATAAATAAATATAAATTCAGCTTTTCCCATTTCTTCCCCCTAGATCTTAATCTCTTAATCTTAATCTCTTAAACATACCTCCTGCTGAAGCTTGTCCACTGCATTAGTCACACTCTCTTCTCCTGCCTTCCTATACTTCTTGATTATCGTTGTTCTCAGATTTTCCTTCAGCTCGTTGTTCAGCTATATAGAACAGGAAATCAACAATGGGGACAGAAATAAGATATAGCAATATGGTTCTTCAACCCAGTTCCCTGTGTAACAATTGTTAGCAACTATTCTGAAAGAATTTTCATGTAATACAAAATGGCTCCCAGAACGTGGAGTCCAATTTGGCAAGTGTAAATTTGGCAAACTGAGCAAGATGGATATCTTGAAATGCTGCACAAACTGAATGTCCTAGAACAGGCTTCTTGAACAAGTGTCAGTCCAAAATTGGACAGTTGTTCCTACCATTCCCTACCCAACCTGATCATTGGAGGCCACTCAAGGTCTCCTCCAGCTTCTGAAGAAATGCTCATTGAATGTTTCAATCTGTCCTGCTCCTGTTTCTTTTTTAATATATTGAAGGACTGCTCTGATCTTTTCTGCACATCCTGCCTCATGCTTTGCAAACCGATTAAGACAAAGCACTTAACTTGGTTAGAACTCTAGAATTGAAACAGTTTTAAGACCCAGTAGTCTTGGTTGCCTAGATTTACTTTTAGAAGTATATTGTTGGCATTGAGAGCTACAAGTGCTTATTCAAATGATTCCCCTACACACACAGCTGGAAAAAAAACCAGCACTGCCTTGTATGTTAGAAGCAAAGAATGACTTCATCTAACGAAGTAACTCATCAAAGTTGTTAATGACCATTACTAATGTGGTAAGTTGAATAAGAACCATTATTTTTATTAACCTTGTTAGGCCAAGATGATTTAACGATAGATGTCAAATGCCCAATCTACAACTTTGCTGTCTAAACTAGTACAGTTATGCAAGCAGTGATGAGAGAAGCATATCTGGCAGAAAAGCCAATGTCAAGTCAAGGTCAATATTTGCATCATCAACTCAGCAATAAGCCTTAAACCCCACTTGTCCAATCAGGTAGCATATTATCTTGGTTATGTCCAAATCACCTTTTTATTTGCAAACCAAAGGTTGTGAGGTTTTAGAACAGAAAAATCAGGGGAAAATGCAAAACAGAATACCATAACAATACTAGAAGAAAACATTTTAAAGGCCCCTCCATTAACCCATGCCATGCAGAAAAACAAAAGCAGATTACCTGTGGGTTGATAGGGGAAAACTGCAGCATCACAAAGAGGCAGCAAAAATAAACACACACACACAGTTTATAGGCATTTTGGAAGAAAGTGCCAGCAAGGGAAGAAATACAAAAGGCAACATAAAAAAACCAATTTCTTGAAACTTTGAAGAGAAGACATAAAGTTTGGCAAAGAAAAACTAGCAGAGGGAGTAAATGAAGCTTCCAAGACCAAGATGATTCCCACAATCACTAAAAGTCCACAAAGAGTAAAGATGTCAACATGCCATGCCCTCCCTCCCTTTTCCCCATCCCCGTCATCAATGCTTGCCAAGCATTCCTTTAGCTTCCAGTCCATTTTCAAATACAGGTAATACCTCCAATTTTGCAACCTGCAAACTTGACAAGGGATGGGAATCAGGATTTCCTAGTGATTCCAGCACTACTGCACTTTATTTCACTAGCATCCAGCCTACTTATCATTATACTTTTCAACACCTGGCATTTTAATGCTGCTAATCCCTGTACAAACCATAGGATTTTTTTTATAATCCATATTTGAATATTAGAATTTAAAGTGACAGTTTACCATCCCAAATCAAGCCATGACCACATTATTAAGCAACTACAGGTGGCAAACCTTCATGCTTTTTCACCTGATCTGATCCATTGCACTGCATTTGCTGGAAAAAGCTAATATGGAATTGTGTAGTTCGAGCCACAGTGGCGCAGTGGTCAGAGTGCAGGCTACTAATAAATATTAAATGGATCTGGTGGTAAAGATCTTCCTAGGTGTGTACAAGGATGAACTAATGAACTGCTCTAAATCATTTAGAGCAATATTTTATGCTCCTGGTTTACTAAAATTTATAGCATCGTAAAAGTTGCCTTACTTGGCCCCAATGGTTGTACATCAATGCCCTGATATGAGTTTTATAATCAAATGCATTTTTTTATTGTAGCACTGGAACAAAGTTAATGTAAGAAATGTTTGCACTGCAGCTTCAAATCATAGCACGGCTATGAGACACACAGAGTGCCCAGATGCCAATCCCTTGTTCATTGTAGGTTTGCACAAATCTGTAGCCTAGGAGGTTCTATCCGTAACAGATGTGCTTACAGGGTTTTGTGGAAAGAAGCCAAAAAAACCCATGACTACCACTGTCACAGTAGTGTTGGCTCACAGTAGACAAGAATGAGTAGGTCTCTGTAGACAAATATCCATTGTGTTGAGAAGACCTGTGGGGAATGAAATGTAGCCTGTTTATCACTCACCCCCTTTTCTTGTGTTTTACCTACCTGCTGGTAATAGACACAGGCCAGGATTCCAGCAATTATCTCAAGCAGGAAGATGCAGAGCAGTAGTATGAAATACTAAAGAAACAAAATGAACACAGAAGTTAAAGCAGGGCATTGCACACTATGGGGTTTACTTTGTCTATAAAAATATAGTATTGACAAAACAAGCCGACTTAGCTACCCAACGTTAAAGACAATGGCACAGCAAAGCAGAGAAACAGTAGCAGGCATGATGCACTCCTGGCCAAGAGGAACTGGATTTGGAGGTTGCCCCTGATTTGGGGGGTTATCAGCCAACTGCTCTATCTAGGAGTGAAAGAATGGCTTTCTGAGCTTGCTATTTTATGAAATGGTCAGAACTAGCTGCATGAAATACACCTTATTCAGAACAAGCATCTACCTTGTCTAGAAGGTAGCTTCCTTGGTAAGTTATTTGATAGCTTTCTGGATACATTAAGGGTGGGGGAGACAAAAACAGATCTTCACCACCATATAAATTCACCAAAATGAGATTCGCTTGGTTTAGCACATTGCAAAATTACAGTCTTTGTCCATAAATCATCATTAACTAAAGCATGGCTTTTGAAAATGAACCTTTGCCTACTGTGTGGCAATGGGTTTCCAAAATAATAGGCAAGAGATCATTTGCAGCTCTGCTAGCCAAGATCCTTTCAATGAGTCTGGGGACCAATCTGTAGACCTTCGGTGTGTAAAGCATGTGCTCTACGACTGAATTATATCCTTACCCATTGCTTTCACAGCTGTGGCTCCTATGCCTCTTGCCAATACTACTTGTTTTGAAATGCAACCCCTCCAGCTGACATCAGTAAAAACTCATCACAAGCTTGTTAGATGATGGTGGAATGCTTAATTGCTCAAGGCAGAAAGCATTTTGAAATAGCTGAGCTTCTTCTTGTGGCACCTAACAGTACCGAAAGTCAACAAAATGTAGGCAAGCACTTTGGGCTGAATTATCAGGTGTGAATTTCACAAAGGAATAAAGGAGATAAACTTTTTTTTTTTAAAGATCCAACTACTCTCTAAAAACATTCAGATCAGATTAACACTAACTCTGATGTGAGGCTTCCAATTGGTCATGTAGACATCTCCAATAGGCACACCAGAAAAAGGGACAAATGGAGAAGTCAGGGAACAACCAACTACATGACCTTGACTCAAAAGGGCAAGAGGAACAGGCCCAGCATATAAGGAAAAGGAAGGTTTCCCTTGCATATAAGTGCTAGTCGTTACCATTCTAGGGGGCGGTGTTCATCTCCCTTTCAAAGCCAAAGACCCAGCACTGTCCGAAGACGTCTCCGTGGTCATGTGGTTGGCATGACTAAACACCGAAGGTGCACGGAATGCTGTTATTTTCCCACCAAAGGTGGTCCCTATTTTTCTACTTGCATTTTTACATGCTTTCAAACTGCTAGATTGGTAGAAGCTGAGACAAGTAACAAGAGCACTAGAGATTCAAACCGCTGAACTGCCGACCTTTCTGACAAGCTCAGCATCTTAGCCACTGAGCAACCGAGTCCCCACCATATAAAGCTAGAGACTAAAAGAGGAAGAAAGACCAAATTTGAAAGTGTTGCTATACAGATAACTTCTTCATATTTATGACTTCCTAATTTTCTGAAATTAATCTCCTTACCCAACTTCTCTCTGCTTAGGAATGTGGAGTTAGGAGGGAGTTTAACCCTACCCCCCCTCCACATCACTCATAGGATAAAGCTATGGCTACCAATCTTCTGGGGATCAGATCACTAATCACCTGCTCTAGTATCCGTATCAAGGTGCAATCCAATAGTCCAGTTAATCAAGACAATGAACCAGCTCTAACCCAACAGGTGCCAAGGAATTTGCCACAATAGTAGCTCTAGTCACACTTCCTGCTCAAATCCTCATAAGCTGTTGGTGCTGAAGTAACCCTCTGAAGTCAAACTTCTGCTTCTCTGCCTGAAAGGAAGAACAACTAAGCAGGTTCATTACCTTTCTGTAGTAATTACCCATTGGTTTGAGGATTTTCTCATCAACCTTTTGCAGGTTTTAGAATTGACATGATGGCTAAGAGAGCAACAAAGCCAGCTATCTCATCCTACACCAGGCTTCAACATCTCCAATTTATGACATTCTTGGTAGCTATGCTTAACAATCCTGTCAAACATATATACAGTATACTTACTCAATTCAGGCCTCTACAGATTTGTCATTTCAGACCACTTACACTTATCACTCATGACTGCTCCCTGTTGCTTTGTGGCTGTCTTCTACCAGAGCTCCCACATTTACTCCAGGATGTGTAAACTGCTCAGAGCCTCCTCAAGGATTCCCCAGGCCATTCAAGCCTTATTACAAGCACTCCAACTGTCACAATCAGGGACTCTCCATACTGCTAAGAATATTTCCTCCCTTCAGATGAACATCTAAAAAGCTGGATTCTGGTTGATGGACCATTTCCCATTCCTGTAAATCCTTTTGCCTTTGATCTATAACTTCTCCACATTCAGAAGATATATCTTGCTTTCCATCCTATGTTCTGGAATGCCTCCCTTGCTCTGTTCTATCACCTCCATCTCAATGGCAGGGAGGAAGAATTTACAACAGAACAGGCTTCCAATTTAGGAATATCTATTCACTGAAATAGTCTGCACTGTTCCTGCGAACTAACAACGGAGGAACAGTTGCATTTGCAGCATACCAAGACACCCAAACTTTCTGATGGGCTGCACACACTGACTGGCTCGGGTTGGCTTTGAATATAAAGGGAAGTTGCCCGGGGAGGGGAGATTGATATTACAGTAAGAACCTCATATAGGTGGATGTGGTAGAGTTTGGGGATTGAGGAAAATGGGAGATTTTGGGAATGGGGGAATGTCTGACAGAATGGTAGATCAGTTCCATTCAAAGAATGGACATTTCCTTTATCCCTGAGATCTCTAACTAAGCGGAGGGGGGGGGGAGGTTAACTGAAAGTGAAGGGATTAAGGGTTTTTTATGTCTAACTGTAAAAGAAATGCAAATCCCCTGGCCTGAAATGCCCAACTTAAAAGAAACAAAGGAGACGGTAGAAGGGAGGAGACTTTGTCAGTTCCTACTGAAAAAACAACAACAATTGAGGTAGAAGGAAGAGTTAGAGTTAAGGAAGGACATCCTCCAGCTCCCCCAAATCTGAAGAAACATCCACAGGATCAGGTGAAAGTAAAGGTAGAAACAGAGGTAGTATAAAGATGAAGCTAATGAGATGAAAATCTTTTATTCTTACAGTGTCAGCGCTTCCTCCAAGGCTCAACCATAAATCTCTCTCAAGGAACGCAGATCCACATTCAAGAATTAGCAGGACAAGGCAACATACATTGATGTTATTGCAGAAACAAGTAGCCCTAATAACAAGGAAGTTCAGCTATTGGCAATCAAGTTCTCTATTTAATAATAGCATGTAGATGGAATTGTTAAACCTCCCCCATTTTACACAGTAATGGATCTGCTATTCCTTTATTAGCTGTGTAACTGGAGGGATTTGATCTCTGTGTCTTTGCTTCTGGTCCTCAATCTGCATATTTGCTACAGTAAGTCCTTTAGCTAAACAGGGGTAAATAGTCAAAAATTCAAAGTCAGGAATTGAGCAAACGCGGCCTTTGACCAGAAACTCAAGAGGAAAAACCCAGGACTTAAATTCAAGGACTAACAAATAAAGAAGGCAGGACTTGAGAGCACTGTTAGACCAAGAACTTCTTCGCATTTATGGCTTTTTTTGCAATTTATCCAAACTTCTTGCATTTGCTTGAAATGCACGGTAGGGAGTAAGATTTAATGACAGTGCCTACTATGATGCTTTGACAATTGGGGTGGTGCATCTTCCTTATACCATTCCACATTGCACCACTGAATCTATCATAACTTGCTTTTAATTACCGTAAGCACAGTGTTAGCTCTAATTAATTTAAATAAAACTTGGATTCACATGTTCAAAAGACTGCTATCAGCTTTATTCATTCTTCCATATATAAGCAGTGCTTTGGATTGAGGATACTGGATCGTCTTTCAAACAGAGTTTAGAGAAGATAAAAGTCAGTTCTTTTAAGAAAACAGATTAAATGTCACAATATGTGAACAATCTCCCAGAGGGAAGCAATTCAGAGATGTATTAGAGCAGATTATTTCTTATTCTGCAATAATGGTCCTTTTCTTGTAGCTTGATTTCTAACATTGTTGGCCAAGCAATTTGCTGCCTAAAGAGAAGGACAAGGTAACAACAATGTACGGTCATTTCTTTACATGCAGAGAGCACTAGAGATGGGTGAGCCCCCCACTACTGCACTATAAGGCAAGTAGAGTAATTTAGAAATAAAGAGTAGACTTTATGGGATACACATCTTTGTCTTTCAACACACTCTAGCTCCTAGTTTCTCATTTTGCCAAGTAGTACAGCCAGCCCTCATCTCAACAATTCGGCCACTAAACAGACAACTCAGTTATGGCGCATTGAAGGCACTCTTACTGTATGTCTCACACTTCCTGGAGCCTCCTGCTTCATCAATGGGAACCCACAGCGTGCCCAGTATGTCTACTTTGGTGCCAGACCATTTATATCAACCAGAGATGACCTATCTGCAGCAACTCCAGGATAAAAACAGCCTGGGAAGAATTGCTCATGTGCTGACATCTTCAAGTTAGATTACTGCAATAGATTATACATGAAGTCACTCTTGTTAAATACTCAAGAATTGAAGTTAGCTGTGTGAGGTAGAACTGGGACACCAGAATGTCTATCTTCAGCGGTTTTTAGTTTGACTCTGGAAAAAAATCAAATTGCTGATACTTATCCTTTAACTCCCTCATTGTAGCCTTTATTGTCATTGTACATCATGTATACAATGATATTGGAATGGCTTCCAACTGCCCTCTGCTATTTTAACCTGCCTTGGCTCCTAAATTAGGTCCAGATCCCCTTGCCTTAAAAAGAAAATCAGATTCTGATTGAAGCAAGTATTCTGATGGAAGCAAGCAAGTAGCCATGCCCAGTTCCTGCAATCATTCATTGTATGTTTAAGCCTCCAGTCCCCTAATACTATTTCAGCATATCTTCATCCAGTACTAAATGACAATATTAATTTAAGTTTAATATATTTATTTCATATGTGTGTCTGACTAAGCACAACAGATTTATTTTTCTCCATTACAGTCACTCTATGAGGCTAGGTGAATTATGAACAAAATCACCCCAAAGTCACTCAGTGAGCTACTGTGGCTAGAACCTCAGTCTCCCTACACCTAGTCCAGTATCTTAGCCATCACACTATACTGGCTCTTAAGTGTTATATACTATGTTGTTTTAAGATAATGAACTTTATTAAAAAATATTATGAAACTGTTGTGTTGGTGATTGTAGTTGTTGCAGTGTTTCCTAATTTCTTCTTAGTTTCTAATTTTATTCTAATTTTATTTGGGGGGGTCCCCCCTTTAATTTATACGTTGGTCCATGCTAGTAGTACATACAATTGAAGGCTAAAACCTAAACACATTTATTCAGTTAAATATTAAACCTCAAACTTTTTTTTTTTTTTTTGCTCTTGGCTGATCTCAGCCCTTCACATCCCACAAAGTTTGTTGAAGCCTCTGACCATCTGTGTGCTGGACAAGATGTCCTTTCATACCACAGGCACGAGTAAACAAAGAGAGAGCTAGCTAACTCAAGACTGGACTTCATACTAAAAGGAGTTGCAAATAGAACAGAAACACGCCTTAACCCCCAAGGTCACTTTTGTTAGAAACAGAATAAGTAATGTTACTGACGTCATCCCTCTACCAGCTGAGATCTTTTTTAAAAAAAAAAACTTGCCAATGAGCTAGAAAACTGATTCTTATGCTTATATTCCTCAAGTTCTTCTCCTCTGATGTACAAATGTGGCCCAATTAGATTATATTTTTCTTTCATTCCCAGATGATCAGAGCCCATGGTTCCCAAATTAAACAGGACACAGCTGTTCTTCTGTAGAACATCAAAGGTCAGTAATGCTCTTCTCAAATGCGATGACTTCTAATCATGTTGATCTAGAATTGTGATCATCCTCTGCCAGCAGGAGAAAGACTGATCTTCAGAATCACAACAAATCCTTGTCAGTTGGGATCTAGCAATTGACATAGTAGGAACTGTGATTTGCATCTGGCACTTGCAGATACCTCTCTACTGTTTGCTAACCTTCTTCCTGTATGCTAGGATTTACTTTTGATATTTTTAAAAATAATATTTAAATAGAATTTAAAAAGGAAGCCAGCAAGTTGTAAAGTACAATTCTCTTTTTTTGCAAGAACAGATTTGGCTTCTACAAAGGTCCCAAGTATTTTTTTTTAACAAACAAACAAACATAGTAAATGATTCTAGAGTTAGTCTGGTATAGTAGTTAAGGCACCAGGCTAGAAAGCAGAAAACAGAGTTCTAGTCCTTTAGACACAAGACCAGTTGGTGACCTTGAGACAATCATTCTCCCTCAGCCCTAGAAAGGAGATAATGGCAAACCGCTTCCGAAAAACTTTGCCAAGAAAATTGCAGGGATTAGTCCAGGCAATTTCCCTGAGTCAATACTGACCAGAAGGCGCATGCACGCACACGCACACACACCTGACTGTAGCCCAACCTTTGTCAACTCCCTCCCAAAAGAGACCAACTTCACACCCTATTATGAATGCTTAAATGTGGATGACAATTTATCAAAGTTATAACTGACAGAGGGAAAAATATGCGGAAAAAATTCCACCAGGAAGCTAGAAGGGAGGAAGAATACCTATCAATACTCTGGGCACAACCATAATCCGTTCCAGGACTTCAGTCGCAACCCGATTTGGTTGTGATTGGAAGCAAGACTGACTGCGCATGCAGTCAAGACTGACTGCTCTACAGAGCCAAGGTGGCGCAGTGGTTAGAGTGCAGTACTGCAGGCTATTTCAGCTGACTGCTAGTTCGGCAGTTCGGCTGT